ACACATATTAGTCAAAGGAAGTTATTATCTCGATCTCTTCATTTGTATAATGAATCACGAAATAATTACTGAGTACCTTATATAAAATAGCAGGCGACTTCAACTTTAGAATCATTGGATTCCCGTATGGAACGATCTCTCATATCACTGATACTTTAATGCAAAACTTCACTACAAAAAATCAAGAAATGCTAGAACAATTGTTTGAAAACCAATGTGTAATAGATAAACTTTGGTTATAGCCAATATTGTAAAATACATTTATACAAACGAACATATCAGTTGTAAATACTATGTATAAATGCTATTTTTAGACAACTCAAAAAGTAATCAATGACTAGTTTGCAAAAAGGCATATCGATTCTCAAACGGGCTATAAGCGAAAATATGAAGGCAGTACTACAGTCTTTTTTTCACATCTCTTTCATAGTTAGTACCTTATGTATATATCTCCACATACTTATCTTACCCAATGTTTCCACCATGGCATATAATACATTCAATTTGCTAAAGGATCATAAATACAGTATCAGTGTGGATCAGCCTGACAAGTGACATCGTTACCTGATGTATAATTTAGGACTGCTACTTTTATTTTTGCTTTTTCTACTGTCACGTTTTTCGTTCAATTTCGTTACTTTGAAATGCGTCGATTCCTTACATATCTATAGTTTCAACTCCCTCACTCACTGACGAGCCCCGAGAGATTAAAGGAATAAAAAGTTTCGTCTAAGTGAGGGGCGAAACGAATGTTAGACTTAAAGTAGTACCCAAATCAGATATTCAGGCCTCTCCATGAATTTCTGCCATTTTCAGACCTTAATCGAACTATTCCGCTTGGCATTCGCATTACAGTCGCTTGCTGTTGACAATTCAATGGTATTTTCCGATGAAAAACGCATTGCTCTTCACAACCTTGTCGCCAAATACATGAATTTGGCTGCGCAACTTATGGCCAATCCATCACTTTGTCAGCATGTGCAACAAGTGAGAGAGTCAGCCGTACATGTTCATTATTGTTCAAAAGTGATGTGCTCATTTGGAATAGCAACAAAGAAAAAGGAATCAAATGACATGTTTAGGTGGTGGCTTGTCGCGCCCGTGGACCTGTCGGTCTCAATCTGTTGGCTGATGAGGAGCAAGATGAAAACCGAGTGAGCGTTGTAGGTGATCTTACAGAAGAACCAGTAAGATTCGAACTGGATGAGATTGCGGAAGTTGATGGAATGCTATTCGATCGAAATAGTGTCGCCGACTGTTTGAAGGTCGTTTTTAATGTGTCTGAAATAATTTGCAGTTTCCAACTAAGAGTTAATATCTCTATTTCTAACAGTTTTCATGAGTATTTGAGTACCAATACTCGCTTATGCTCTATAGCTTTGATCGATACCCTTCACATGTAATAATTCAAGTATGGGTTCCCTCTTAAGGCTAACTTGAGAACTTATTTTTTGTTCATTTTGGTAATGTTTTATTACGGCTTATGGTAATTTGGAATATAATCATCTATTTCTTCTAGAACAAAGAATAAGCTCTAAAGTGAATCCTGTAAGGAAACCCATTTCTTCTAGAGTTCAGTTGCGCTGTATGGGGAACGGTCATCAGTTCTTCATTGATGTTTGAATAGGTTATGGGTAGTTAATCAGGTTGACTGGCCATGAAGCAGTATGAGTAACTTAAAGCAGTTTATTGGAGTGAATCCGCGTGACAGTATTCCTTGCTCGTCCTCGATCGTTTCATTATGAAATATGAAACCATCAAAATGTGATCACGACCTCAAAGCATAGTGAACGACTATGATTTACGCAACGGTGGTTTCTTTTTTGTGCAGAACGACCGAATGAACCTTAACTAAAAATTAGTCTGGGGCTGCAGGTTTTCTTGACTTGGCTCCGCTTCCTTGCATGGCAAGGCCAAAAAATCTCTTACCGCTAGCTTCTGTTCATGTTTTTCGTAGTGATGGATCTCAATGTTTTTTTACTGTAATCTGCGTTTCTGCTCGAATATCTGATTAAGAAGGCTGATCAGTTATATCACGGAAGATAGAAAGTCGTGAGAGTTACATCATTTACATGTGTAGCTGTCATGGCTATGACGGAATCAGGGAAGTAAGGTCCATTGCCATTCAGGCCGATCCCGCACACCTACCTGAGTAGTAGTAATCGTGATTTCTTTATCTTGCTTTTTTTTTTATTCTTTAGCTGGTTTCCAAAATAATATAGGGACGGCTTGATGACATTGATAGTAACCTAAGAAATCGCGGTTATTCAGTGGGTGTTATATTAAATTGTTCTGGTGGATTATTTTATCTATTACTAAAGAAATGAATGGGTTATGTAAGATAGCCCTGGGCTTAGATAATTTTATTGACATAACGAGGTTCACAATACTTTTAACGTACTACGTGCGGACGAAACCGCCTTCTTCGGAGCCTGAAAGAATGGAGTCAAACTTAAGAAGTTACCTGATCAAACATCTCAACGTCTTACAATACCTTCGGAAGCAACTTAATCATCACAATTCAGGTAGATGAAAAGGCCAAACCTCCCTCATTGGTAGAATCGTGAGCGACGCAGAGTGGCTGACTAGGGTTCAAAAGTCATGATCAAAAGCTAACCTGAGTAGGGGGTGAGTTCGTGCGTAATAGACAGGCATTCCTATCCGGTTCATTTTGCACCTATGGCCCGGATCCAAAATGCCTTTAGGGTCTTCCTCGCGGCTGTTTGCGTTCCATGCACTAGCGCCTCGACTGTGAATCCCGAGTCGTCGCCAGTTGTGATTGTATCCTGTGGCAACATAAGGCAGTTAAAGGCTGCGACCTGATCTTGCCGTTTGGATGTTCTTTAATTCGTACAAGAAGTGGTCTAGCTGTTCCACATGTATATTCATCTTCACAGTTTGGCATATGATTTTGTAGACCGCTCCAGCAACATTACAGTCACTTTCACTATCAGTAGAACAGACCACCCACTTAGGTGTGGCACATGTGCGACCGTAGAGACGATTACGGACCAAACGACGCTTAAGGTTGCCAGGAGGGATTTTCACGATACCAGTTATAATTTTAAGAGCCGACCTCCTCCGACACTTTCTTATGAAAGTGCCTACTTCATCGGGGATAAAAGGCATTGGGAGTGAGATTCTTGTGTTTGTGAGATAATGCTAGGCGTGACGATCTTGTAACCTGCTCTCGTTTTTCGAAATGGCGAAAGAAGTTTGTTTGCATTGAGCACGGCAATACTCCATGCTGCTTTGACGGATTCTTTCGCTCATTCTCTCCAGAGCAAATTTTCGCAGCAGTTCGAATCATGCTCTTCACCACTGCTCGTTTTGTTTTGAAAGATTGCGCAGTTTCCAACAAACAATGATGTTTTATTGTTGGGCCATCATATCACTTCGTAGAATAGTCACTTGTCAGTTCTTACTAGGTCATTGAAGATAGGCAGCCAGTCTTGGTCAGGCTTTTCTCGAGTAACTTTTATCCGCTCAGATTGTGCATTCAATTGCTCAAAGCAAGGTTCACCTTGTCATGCGTAGAGCAAACCCTGAAGGGGATATTTCTGTACCGACAACTACCACGATGCAATTAATCGAGCAAACGATATGGTAGGACAAACGGATGCCTTTCATAAAGTTATGGTGTTGGGGGACTTAACTGACTGTGCGCAATCTGTTCTGGAATTGGGTCCCAGTTTTTCACCGTCCGCTGGTATATTTTGAACAGCAAAAACCTGATATCGCCTTAGACATCAGTTTCCTAATGTTTGCTGCCGAAGTATACGAGGGTTTCAGCAGATTTCAAAAGCAACGCTTACCGCGTAACATCTCGAAGGCGCAGATCATGGAATCTAGGAACTCTACAGCATAATCAAACCTCATTCTATTGGCTCATCGAATTGACAAGGTCAGGGAGTTCATAGTTCCCAATAATATCAACCATAACATAACCATAACACCATAATCGAGCGGCACCTTGGAAAGAGCTCCCTTCACCTGCCAGTTCCAGGCACAGTTCCGAAGTTCGAACCGGCACTGTACAGTGCGTTTCATAATTATAAGGTCACCCTCAAATTTTGCACTTCCAAGAAAAGCAATCATTAAGGATTTTTCTAGTATCACGAACGGATTCTCCAGCACGAATAACCTAGGTATCCGTTTCCTACCCGCAGCTGCATTTTTCTGAACTTTTTTAGAACGGTTTATCGGTTTTTGCACCGTTTCATAATTATAAGGTCACCCCGAGAAAGCGAACAATTATTGATGGAAGAGAGGAAATTTCGTGTTTAAAGATGCTTATAAAGGTGAGCATGTGTAGCAAAGGTATTTCTAAACCTGACTGTCAACATGGTTCGTGGTCATCTGCTTTCCCCTGATGAGAGGGCTCATCACGAAGGTGGGCTCCGTACTCTAGCCATTTCCAGGCGAATAGAGAGCTCCCCTTGGTCCATTCGGAGATTTCTGGGGAGCCCTCATGTCGTTAGATATAACACCGACTGTGGACACCCATGAAAGATTACTACCCGTGACGAGCGGAAAATTCTGAGGACTGTTTCCAACAGTACGTCCTCCTCAACCAGATCCGATCGGAATTAAACCTCTCTGTGTCGAAAACTACAGGCTGGAGAGCAGTAACAAGATGCGAGAACGTCACCAGGCAAACAATGGAGAAGGTGCCACGAATCACCGATCGCCACAGAGAGGCTCGTCTCGGATTTGCCAAGATGAACCTAGGGAGAGATTGGGCAAGGGTAGATCTGCATCAAAATCTCACCATAGAGCTGAATAATTCCTTTTCGGGTCGTCTTTTCGAATGAAAAGAAATCCTACATGGGCGGTCCTGACGGAAACAAGCGATACTGGCGCGACTTGAGGAAGGAACCAGTCTACTTCAGCCGTCGCAATTCCGGTGGAGGAAGTCTATGGTGTGGGGTGCATTCTGGAGCTGCAGTATGTATTGCAAGGATTACCAGTAGGTCTTGGAGCATCATCTAGTACCCTTTCTATGCCATCGCCGTCACCTCAGCTATGTCTTTCAGCAAGACAACGCCTCCATTCATGGGAGCCGTGCAACGAATGAGTGGCTGCAATGCCAATAAATAAGCGTCCTGCCATGACCAGCCTGCAGTCCCGATCTCAATCTGATGGAACATATCTGGGGCATAATAGTCAGACAGGTTTATGCGAATAACCGTCAGTTCCAGAGCACAGAAGAGCTGAACCGGGCGATTATCGTAGCATGGAGAGCAATCGATGAGGAACATCTTCGAAACCTAGTTTCTAGTATGCCACGCAGACTCTTTGATGTTGCTCTGACAAGGAGGAGCTGTAGATTATTAAGTGTTGTACATATGCCATCAACGTTAATAAATCATTTACTTTCTCAGGGTGATCTTATAATTATGAAACGGTGCAAAAGCCGACACTACCTTTAAAAAATTCGTAAAAAATTTGAGGTGAAGGATATTGCGACCAAAATTTGAGTTAGGAGGTACATTGTGACGAGGAATCTTCCAGTGTTTGCCAAAAAATTCCATTCCGGCTGCTTTCTCCAGAATCGCAAAAATCTGGGGTGACCTTATAATTATGAAACGCACTGTATTAGGCAACCAAAAAAGTTCTTTCTAATTGATTATTTCTGTGCATGTATTAAAAAACTGATTGTGGTAGGAGGGTAACATTGCATATGCTTCGGAGCTTGTTTTATACAGAAGCATTCAGTCTCATAAGTTTAAGTAGTGCGTTTCAAGTTCAAAATTTTTAACTGAGGTATTCCACTATGACAACGCAGACCGCACGCAGCAAGAATCACGCGGGAAACTCTAGGACCTCCGTATTCACCAGGTATTGCCCCAAGCGACTACCTCTTGTTTTTGGCTTTAGGGGATAATCACATGGGGAATCCGCAGTTTCAAAGTAATCAAAGTAGAGAAGAGCTCGATAGGGAGTTAAATCAATTTTGTTTGCTCCAAAACTCAAGACTTTTATAGAGATGGAATATGCCTTCTTGTTCCACGATGGAAGAAAGTCATTCTGAATAAGCTCTAGTTACACCGGTTTTTCGTTCATTTATTTAACCTAACCTTGAACCTTTTTTTGGTTACCTGATACGACCATAGCGAAGTCGGCACGTCTTACATGGGAAGGATACTCGGTCGCAGTGGCCATTCAAGATGAGATGTATACCCCCATAGGTGGTTTCGAACGCTGATCTCAAATCTCTGTTCCAAATCTGCGAAACGATTCTGGGAACAAAGTTACAGGACCGATGCCTCCTCTGTGTTATACCACTGCGCTGAACGGATCACCTGGCCGAGCAAAACGCTTAACTGTGCATCGGTGGCCTGGCGGATAGTGTGGTGGATTGGTGAGCATGATAAAAATGAAATGCGTCCTAAACGCTTGCAAAACGTTTTTGGGCTCAATGTTGGGCATCCGCAGGGCTCCCTCGCAGTTTAGGACTCCGGGAAACAGTAATCTAATGAAAAATTTCTTACCACTACCGACCGATTACATACGCCTCTCTACCCCGAACAGTCAAGATGGTGTTTCGAAATCTTCGGCAGCTCCCTGCACTTACGGTAGGTCGCAGTGGTCGACTGCGGTCGAATGATTCATCCAACCAGAGCACTCTTTGGAAGGGATACGGTCCAAACATACTAGGAATAATGTCCGGCCTTCCAAGAGGTAGTGCAAGTTATTTGGCATTGTTTAAAAAGTACTGTAGAGCAATAGTTTATTGCTTTGTGTGCACATGATTATCTGCTCATTCTTGAATGAACGTCCTTTCAAGGAGCCCTTCCATAAAGTAAAAGTGGTGATGCGGTGGGACATGATACCACAGCTGTTCTCAAAACGCCGAATCAACCTATGAATTGTTTTGAGTTTTCTCCCTATGGGCCTTCTTTGTTGCTTTGAAGCGGTATCCAGTGGAAATGGCTCTTGTGCAATGGGACTATTATATAAATTTTACGATAACTCATCTTTCTAACTGATCCGCTAATCTCCATAGGTAGGCAGACAGACCCGCTTGTTTTTCACCTGGTAGTCGCGACCACATGAGACATCGTAAGTTGTCAATAATAGACTAATTTGAAAGCTCATGCCCTCTTAATTTCCGTGGACGGCACTATGTCATGAAGATACAAATATGTTCCTCATGTTCGAGGAGTGTGGCTTCTTTTGACAATCCAATTCTAGAGAGCTATGGGCTCTTCACCAGCGCCGTAAAATTGGAGCTCATGGGTCAGATCACAAACTTCAAGGCTGCGTTTCACTTTGGAACTTCTATATCCCAAAAAACATAGGGGGTTTCATTGGCGAGTTTCATTCATTACGGGCCCATAGTCGCTGCCCTCATCAGACGACTGCAGAGGATCATTGTGTTCGCCTTTAACGGACTCGACTTCCTCGCAAAGGCTAACAAGCCTGTTTTCAAAAAGTCGATAAGCACTGTTCGAAACCTATTCGTTACCGCAACTTCCTAGAAGGGATCTACGTCATGCTACATGAACGAAAGTCCTCCATCAAATATGATGGCACCACATTCGTTCAGAGGATTCGCTGGTAACTTGTTGAAGTGCGTTTGATCCGATGAATCACTGAAACCTTTCTCCTTGAAGCCTCTTAAGCTCATTTCGAGCAAATATTTAGTATTCCTCTCTTGTTAGAATGTAGCTCCACCCTTATGCGGCCGGTGAGGGGCAGAAAAGCTTCCCTTGAAATACCTTCCCAGTGTTCTCAAATTGTGAGAGAGCCCTGTACATGCCCAATATTGAACTCAAAAACGTTTCGCAAGCGTTTAGAACACGTTTTTAGCGTTTTTATGAAAAAGAGAAACGAACGTATGCATCGAGGAATCGAACCCTGGTTTTATGCCTATCAGTCCACCACATTATCCGCTAGGCCGCCGATGCACATTCACCTGCTCTGCTCGGCTCGGTGATCCGTTCGGTACAGTGGTATAACACAGGGAGGCGTCGGTCCCGTAACTTTGTTCCCAGAATCGTTTCGCAGATTTGGAACGCAGATTTGAGATCAGCGTTCGAAACCACCTGGGGGATTACATCTCATCTTGAATGGAACCTTGAATGAACCAAGTATCCTTCCCTTGTTAGCTCTAGTTTGATAGGATGACTCTAGGTTGAGTGGACGCGCTGTCCAGTACTGTACCTGCTCATCAGAACTCATAAATTCTTCCCTACGGACAACTTGGCATCAATAACACCCTCATACATTAAGGATAGGTCCACTATCAGCTGCGTGGGTGGTCCCATTGACAGGATTGCATGGTTTCTTAACTCTGTATTAACGTAACTACGAGGGTTGCCTTTTATATTTTGAGATTTGGCAACACTAGTGTAGCAGTCTAGCAACTGACACTACTATCGTAAAGCTTGACTATTTTGAGGTTACGTTGCGAAATTTGAGCTGTCTGTTGTTTACACTAAGTTATAAGATTTTGTTTAGGCCAAGCTATGGAGTTGAATCGTGAGCATTTTCGCGCGATTGTTTACTACAGCTTTCGAAGTGGACTAACTCAACAGCAATGCATGAATGAACTCAGTTCAATTTTTGGTGATGAAGCACCATCCAGGGCCAGTGTTTATCGATGGTACAGTGAGTTCACCCGAGGTCGTAGTTCACTCGAAGAGAAATTCCGTGGAGGTCGTCCAAAATCAGTTGTTGTTCCGGAAACCGTTGATACTGTGCACAAACTAATATTGAAAGACCATCATGTGACCTATCGTCAGATTGATTCAGATTGGGACAACCTTAGGCATTAGTAGGATCAGCATACAATCAATATTGCATGAACATTTGACTATAAAAAATTGTTTTTAAAAATTTGCCAATCCCCCGAAAAAGGGACTCGTGTCGATTGGTCGAAAGAAATGCTCAAAAAATACGATCGTGGTGCATCGAAACACATCTATGACATCGCGACAGGTGATGGAACATGGGTTTAGTGTACGAGCCCGAAAGTAAACAGCACTCGACGGTATGGGTGTTTCAAGATGAGCCAAATCCAACAAAAGCTGTCCGCGCACCAAGCACTTCTGAGCAGTTGATCTCCTGTTTTTTGGAAAAACTGGACATGTCGCAACCACTATTTGACCACTACACTTGAACAAGCAGAGCAGTCAATTGTGAGTGGTATACAACCATTTGTTTGCCAGTTGCTTTCCAAAAAATCATGAAAACCGATTGCCGAAAACGGATCACTCTTCACCACGACAATGCGAGCTCCCACACATCGGCTCAAACAACCGCATTTTTGAGCATTCAAAACAACGATTTGATGAGCCATCAACCATATAATTCCCGGGTGACTACTTCTTATCCCGTACGTGAAAAATAAAACGAGAGGTCAAAGATTTTCGACACCTGAAGAGGCCGTTGATGCGTTCAGAATCCATGTTTTAGAGTTACCTACTTCAGAGTGGCAAAAGTGCTTCGAAAATTAGTTCGAGCCCATACAAAAGTGTATAGTTCTTAATATGGAGAATTTAGAAAGGCAGTAAAGCGATTTTCAATTAATAGTATTTGTTTCTGTTCTCAAATCTCAAAATATAAAAGGCAACCTACGTACATTATTCATTTCGCACCTTACTAAGAACCACATGTCCTAAAGTCAACTTTGTGGATTGCGATTAAATGGAATATGTGCAATGGAATCTTTCGAAATCTTTGTATACAAATGTAAGAAATGCTCCTATTATGGGAGGTTTGCTTAAGCTTCGTTCCCACCGCGAAAGCCAGCAACGTTTACAGGCTTTCAATAGAACGAATAATGGTTCTTCTGAAGGAATGCCTGAATTGAAACATATCCGGATGGCCGCGAAAGTACTGTGCGCAAACTAGAGCCTCGCATTCTGCGACAACTGGCGCCTACTCTGAACATTGCCTTCATGACCAAGCTAGAAGTGCGTATACTCGAGCGTCTTCTTATGCGAAAACGAATTGTCGGTACATCAACGATCGCATCTTAGTTTGTTTTACGCAGGACGAGATGGAACTTTGTTTCGACCCATTGAATGCACTATCTGAGCGGATAAAAGTTACTCAAAAATACCTCACGAAGACTGGCAGACTGGCTGCCTTTCCTTAATGTCCAAGTAAGAATTGGTAAGGGTGACTATTCCACGTAGTAGTTTAGTGGACCAGAAATCACAACGTCATTGTTTCTTAACACGTTGACGACAGCGCGAACACATATGTCCCGCGTTTCGCAGGCTACGTGGGCAGGGGGGGGGGGCGATTC